CCTTCTCACCTGGCTCAGCAGCGGGATGTTTACCAGCGACCCCAAAAACCCGAAAGCCACCGGGAAGAAGCTCCTGTGGGGACACAAAAAACCCCGCTGAGCTCCGGGAACATCCCCCGGGCTCTTCGGGGACACAGAAAATCCCGCTGAGCTCCAGAAGCATCCCCTGGGCTCCTTGAGGACAGAAAAACCCCGCTGAGCTCCAGGAACAACCCCCGGGCTGCCCGGGGGCACAAAAACCCCACTGAGCTCCGGAAACATCCTCCGGGCTTCTCGGGGGCACAAAAGACCCCTCTGAGCTCCGGGAACATCCCTTGAGCCCCTCGGGGTCAGAAAAAGTCCCACTGAGCTCTGGGAACATCCCCCGGGCTCTTCGGGGACACAGAAAATCCCACTGAGCCCCGGGAACATCCTCCGAGCTTCTAGGGGACACAAAAAAATCCCGCTGAGCTCCGGGAGTATCCCCCGGGGCTCCTTGAGGACAGAAAAACCCCGCTGAGCTCCAGGAACAACCTCCGGGGTGCTCGGGGACACAAAAACCCCACTGAGCTCCGGGAACATCCTCCGGGCTCCTCGGGGACACAAAAGACCCCTCTGAGCTCCGGGAACATCCCTTGAGCCCCTCGGGGACAGAAAAAGTCCCACTGAGCTCTGGGAACATTCCCCGGGCTCCTCGGGTGCACAAAAAAAACCCCACTGAGCCCCGAGATCATCCCCAGGTTCCTCGGGGACACAAAAACCCCACTGAGCTCCGGGAACATCCTCCGGGATTCTCGGGGACAGAAAAAGTCCCACTGAGCTCTGGGAACATCCCCCGGACTCTTCGGGGACACAGAAAACCCCACTGAGCCCCGGGAACATCCCCGGTCCCCACCCCGAGGATCCCGACCCCGCACCTGAACAGGGACACGAAGCCGTAGGCCTCCAGCAGCATCCCCAGGATCGGCCACCGCATCAGCACCACCAGCAGCCCCCCGAAAAAAAAACTGGTGCCCTTCAGCTTGGGCCGCTGGAAGAAGAAGGTGAAGGTCCTGCGGAAGCCGATGATGAAGACCAAACCGGAGATGAAGAGGAGCTGGAGGAGGAGGAGGAAGGAAGGGGAGAGTCAGGGCAGCTGTGGGGTGAGGCTGTGGGGTGCCCAGACCCGGCCCTACTCACGTTCCCGAAAGCCAGGAGCACGGAGTCGAAGTACAGGAGGATCCCGAAGAGGAGGAAGAAGAGGCCGAAGCCCACCAGGCCCACTCCGATCCCTGCGGGAGGCGGGAGAGCAGAGGGGAGGGTTCCCTGAGCACCGGGGGTCCCGAATCGGCGCCTCCCCATCCCAAAAATCCCCTCTGGGTTTGTCTCCAGAGCTCGGGAACACCCGGAGGAGGCTGTGCCCCAAAAATCCCCGAGGGTGCGGGATAAATCATGAACCCCTAAGGGAAAATTAACGGGAAAATCATCKCCAGCCTTGTCCTGAGCAGGGACGGGAACAGCTGGAGCCGATCCCAGGGTGATCCAGGGAATTGTCCCCACCCCAACCCAGCCCTCCCCGACCCCATCCCCTTTCCCCTCTGACCCCTCCC